AGGACCACATCTGCGGGGAGTAAGCCCTGTCACCAGGCATCCTGCAGAAGTCTGAACAGGCACTGATGGGATAGAGATGACTCTAGGGTAGCTCTGGGGTGTCTGGGCTGGTGGAGGAGACAGAGGGGCTCAGGCAAAGGCAACGAATGGGGGTCTGGGGTATGCTGATCAAGCAGCATGGGCTGTGGGTAAGGCATCCACACATTTAAACATCCTAGCATGCTTTGAGAACCCAGCTCTATGTTTGGTACTCTGCTGCCAAAGGGTGAAGGCAAGAGAGATGAAGATGGGTCATTGAGATGCTCAGGGCCCGATGGGGACAATCAACCCAGGCCTGCCTCCTTTCCTCAGGAGCTGGGCATAGTCATCATCAGGGGGAGCAGGGGAGGGGAGCTCCAGTCACTGGGCTCCCCATACACATACCAGGCCCCAGGTGACCCCACCCTGTTGTCTAGGCAGCCTGGCCCTGAGACAGCCTTGTGCTGAGGCCCTGGAGTGGGACATTCCACTGGGCAAGGGGGACATGGGTGATAGGCCCTGTGCCAGACAGTTTCCCTTGACTACTACCACGAGGCACCAAGGGGGCTGGGGAGTGAGGCTAAAAGGCAGCCTGCATGAATGTGGGAGGGACTGGCCAGGATCTTGATGCCCTGCCCTGGAGCCCTGGCCACCCCAGGACCTCCAGCTGCCAGTGGGTTATCTGCCCCACCCCTGCCCATCTAGCACTTCTCCTGTGGTCTGACAGCCAACTCCTGTTTAATGCATTTTTTCCTGGTTCCCAAGGAAGGCTGGTAGACAGAAGGAGCCCACAGCCTGTCAGGCAACACCCCGCAACACCCCGCAATCACATGTATATGTACCAGGCCAGCAGCTGCAGGCTGGGCTGGATTCTCTTGGAGGTTTCCTAGTCCCAGCCTGAGCTGTGCAGCAACGTGGGGCTCAGGTGGCAAAGCTGGACCCAAGCCAGACCCAGCATGGCCAAGGAAGGTCAGCTCTGGCTTCCCTGCCCCCGACAAGAGGGCTCTCCATGGCTTCCTGGCCAAAACTCCTGTGAGTAGTTTCTTGGTAAACTACCCACTCCCAGGGGAAGGGTAGTTTACTGAGAACCTGCCATGGAGCCATGTTCTCACTACCTTGGAGCAGACCCCCAACTCTGGGCAGAGCAGAGACTCTGGGACTGTCTTCCAGGAGCTGGCACCGTGGACCCCTGCCTATTCCACTAGCCAGGCCCTCAGTCCATCCCAAGGGTCAAAGAGTCAGAACCAAGGCTGGATAGCAAGGCCTCCTCTGAAGCAGAAGCTTAGACTCGAAAGCCCCCCATGCTCCAGGCATTTGTGCCCTAAGGTGGTGAATGGTGAAATGCTTTCTGCCAGGATCCAGTGTTCCTGAAGGAGTAGGCCCTAAGGCTCAGTCTCCATCCTCAGCTATCACGAGGGCGTGGTCAGGGCTGATGCTGTCTGTCTGTCTGTCTGGCACTATTCTAGGAACCTGTTAGGATAAAAACACCTCAGGGATTTCCAGGAAACTCCCTACTTTAACAGACCCTTAGCTCTTTCTCCCCAGAACTTTAAGACAAAGCAGAACTTTTACATCTGTGACCAGCGAGGTGAGCAGGACTGGTATTCTCATCTCCATTTTACAAGGGGAGAAAATGCAGCCTCAGAGAAGGGATGAGAATGGCCCAGGATCCTCTAGTAAAAGGTCAGTGAAAAGGCAAGCCTAGAGCTGGGCTTCCCAACCTACCTCACATCATGGCACGTTTACAAAATTATCACTGGAGTAAATGAAGGATGCTGGAGGCTAAAGCACCCATGGGAAGTCCCAGGCATAGTGAACAAAGAAGAGAGTAGAAGGTGCTGTGGTTACAGAGGGAGCAGAGGACAGATCACGCAGAGGTTTACTTATTTATTTATTCTGAGACGGCATCTCACTGTCACCCAGGCTGGAGTGCAGTGGCACAATCATGGCTCACTGCAGCCTCCATCTCCAGGGCTCAAGGGATCCTCCTGCCTCAGCCTTCCTGAGTAGCTGGGGCTACAGGCATGTACCACCATGCCCAGCTAGTTATTTTTATTTTTAGTAGAGACAAGGCCTTGCTCTGTTGCCCACGCTGGTCTTGAACTCCTGACCTCAAGCAATCCTCCTGTCTCAGTCCCCCAAAGTGCTGGGATTACAGGCTTGAAGCCACTGCATCCAGTGCACATAGAACTTTGTAGGCCCCAGGTCAGGAGATAGCGTGGGAAGCCACTGGAAACGTTAGGTAGGAGTGACATGATCTGATTCCTCTTGCTGCTGGATTGAGGACTGGCAGGAGAGAAGGAGGGGTCTAGGGAGGGTCTGCTGCAATCATCCAGGTTCGAAGTGATAGTGGCTTGGACTGGGTGGAGGACAAAGAAGAAGTAAGAAGTGGTGGGATTCTAGATAACACTTTGAAGGTAGAGCATTAGGATTTGCTGACAAATTGGATATGGAGTATCAGAGAAAAGGAGTCAAGGATGACTTCAAGATTTTTAGTCTAAGCAGCTGAAAGGACAAAGTTACCATTAATTGAGGAAGACAGGGAGGAGTGTTTGGGGCAGGAAGTCAGAGGTTCTGATCTGGATATGTTGAGTTTGGGAGGCATTTCAGACCACCAAGTAGAGTCGGGTAAGCATTTGGAAAGTAGAGTTCCTAGAAGTGGGGCTGGGATAGAAATGTGGAGTCATCACATGAAGATATTTAAAGCTGTAAACCCAAATGAGGGGAAGATGGAAGCCAGAAACAAGGTGAAGGAGTGGTCCATGAAGCTGGAGGAACATCAGGCAGTGTGGCATTCTGCAATCCAAGTGAAGAAACTAGTTCAAGGAAGTGGGAGAAACCAATTGTGTCTGATGCTGCAGAGAGGTCAGGTAAAATTACAACTGAGAATCGACTACTGAGTTCAGGATTGCGGAAGTTACTGGGACTGTGACAAGAGTCATCTGGTAGAGGGATGGGGCAAGACACCATCTGGCTGGGTTGAAGAGAGAATGAGGGCTGAGAACTACGGGCAGTGAATGTGGACAGGTCTGCTGAGGTTTCTGTAAACGGGAGTGAGACAGGAGGTGGTAGGTAGCTGGGGGAAGATTTAGAGATGGGAGAAATGGCAGCCAGTTTTTACCCTGATGGGAATGAGACAGAGTTTACAAAGTGCATGGCACAGTCCCTGGTACATGGCAGGTACCAGATACCTGAAGGAGTTCACGTGTCCACACACCCTGCAGCTGCCCCAGCCTCTCCTCTTCCTTGCCAGCCACCCCTCTTCCTTGCCAGCCACCTATAGGGACATCATACTCTGTCTGCCTGAGGAAAGGAGGAAGCCTGGGTAGCCCTGTTATGTGAGGCTCTTCTTGGTGAGCAGACAGATGAGTAGGGCAGGTGGCAGTGTCAGCACCTTCCCCAAGACCAGAGGGGAAGGGTGAAGCTTGTAGCCTGGAGGCAGGAATATGAGGGAAGATGCCAGCAATACAGCTGTTGCTAGTAGGTGAGGGGGCCTGTGCCCAGCTGGGAGCTTCATGCCTTGGCTACAGTGGGGCTTATTCCCAGCCTTCCATCTGGGCTTGCCCTGGGCTCCAATAATCAAGTGCCAAGAGACTGCCAGGCCCCCTCACCATGAGGCACCCTTCTCCAGGCCCAGAAATAAAGGGGCCATGAACTCCATTCACTACCAGGAGAGAAGCCTGAAGCTCTTAAGGAGTCTGGCTAAATTCACCCAGTCAAAAACTGTACCCACAGAGTGGGGAGGAACCCAGGCCATAGCCCTGATTACTATCTTGCCCCAAAGATGTCCTGTTCCCTCTGCCAGGGATCAGAGATGACTCATCCAAACTCCTAGCCAGCAGCATCCCTGAAGACGGACTTTTCGAAGTGGGAAGTTGAACCTTGGTTGCAGATGATGTCTCCAAGGCCGTGACCCATGCAGATGTGCACTGAGAATACTGTAGACCTGGGCCTTGGCCCTGGCAGCGACTCCCTGCAGCCAAGTCTCCCTGGGGAGCCCCTCTTGCAGCCTGCTGACTGAGTCATCTCTTGATAGAGCAGTGCAACTAGTGTGAAAAGTAAGAGTTCTGGCCAGGTGCAGCAGTTCATGCCTATAATCCCAGCACTTTGGGAGGCTCAGGCAGGTGGACCACTCGAGGTCAGGAGTTCAAGACCAGGCTAGCCAACATGGCGAAACTCCACCTCTACTAAAAATACAAAAATTAGCTGGGCACAGTGGCGGGTGCCTGTAATCCCAGCTACTCGGGAGGCTGAGGCAGGAGAATCACTTAAACCACTGGGAGGCACAGGTTGCAGTGAGCCGAGATTGTGCCACTGTACTCCAGCCTGGGCCACAGAGCAAGTCTCTGTCTCAAAAAGGAAAGAAAAGTAAGAGTCCTGCGGTGCTGACAAAACAGGAAGTACAGGGGCTGGGTAGGCTGGCCCTGAAGGAAGCCAGGCCCCATCTCCCCTGAGTTAGGGGACTGAGGAGGACCCTTCCCTGTGCCAGCAAATCCTGTCAGGCCTGAGCCAAGACAAATGGTCAGACTCAGGATCCCCAGATTGGGGGCTAAAGGAGGAAGAAAGAAAGCTCCAGGCTATGCTGGGGTAGGCGTAGGTCCTCAAACCATGCCCTGGTTTAGGGGGCTGGAGACTATAAGCAAACCCCCAGACAAGCCAAATCTGAGATGAGGCCAATAAGGGTTTTCTGGACCAGGGAGATGCACCTCTAGGAAATGAGTGCCTAGAAAAAACAAGAGGCTTTCTAGTGGGTGGGACTGCTTGGGTAAAGTCTTGCAGGCTAGTGGGCAGGAGCACTGGACACAGGGTGGCTTGAGTGGTATCTCCTTCCCTGATGCCTCTGGCTTTGGTCACTTCTACTTTTGACAGCTGGGCTTCGTGCATACAATTTACTAGGACCCTGCCTATATACACACCCTCACCCTAGTGCCTTCCTCCCTCAGGACTCCCCACACTCACCCACCCTCCTTCTCATTTTTCAGCACAAGGCCAGTCAGCCTGCCCATGGTGTCCCCCAACTCTCTCCTCTCTACGAACATTTCAGCAGCCCACACCCCACCCCTGCACCTGTGGACATCAGCCAGAAGCAAGGTACAAGCCTGGAATGGGGAGGGGCCTAGTGAAATCAGAGCCTGAGGGCCAAGTCCCCAGTTTCTGAGACCAGATGGCTGGGTCCATTTTATAACTGGAGAACCTGGAGCTGTGCAAACTAAGTGCCCAAAGAAAATTCCAGAAAGAGGGACTGGGGGTAGGAGGGCACCAGAAGACTGGAAAAGTGGGTGTTAGGTCAAAATGTGAAAGCTTCAGGTTGAGGTAGAAGCCTAAATCCCATGGGTAACCCTGCTGCTGCCAGTATGGAAGCATTGCTGAGAACTGTAAAACTGTAGCCTTTCCTCCCCTCAGTGAGAAAATGGAAAGTGGTGGTTGTGATGGCTGATTCACCTCAGCCTCAGGCAAAGTCATTCTGAAATCCCTCCTTGTCAGCTGTGGGAAACCTGCTGACTCAACCCTGGGGGGGCAAGTGGAGCCCTGGCTACCCAGGCTGGGCTCCCCTAGACCAAGGACCTGCCTCCTACCCAGAAAGCTAGGCTGGAGTCCCCCCAGCAGAGATGCCCCAGCCGTGGACCAGGAGGCCTGGCCTCCATGCCTGAATGACTTCAGCTCTGCCTATTGGCCAGCTGATGTCTTAGACAAGTCACCCAGCCCTCTGCCCTGAGTTTCCTTGTCTGTCAAAGGTACACTGTTCTCATACTGGGATCGTCCTCAATAAACCAGTTTATGTCTGGTCCTCTAGCAAAGCTGGTGGCGTCTTAAGGCCCCTGTAAGCAGCTCTAGGATGCAGTAACGGGTGAGGCCTGCCAGATCAGGCTAGCCCACTCACTCAGCCTCTCTCTTCTGCAGTTCCTAGGCCTCTGCAGACCCCTGACCTCTCTGGCTTCTACTCCCTGACCTCAGGCAGCATGGGACAGCTCCCCCACACTGTGAGCTGGTGAGTGTGGGCCCAATGGGAAGGGGGTACCATGTGCTGGTTGGACCAAGACCTGCCTACCCTTCCATTTCCTCCTCCATCTCTCTTGGCTGGCCACCCTGCTGCCAGCTCTGTTTAGATGCCAGGGGCTGGCCAGGAGCTCTGTCCTAACCTGGCTGTGAGCTAGGGGTCCCCCTGGCCTGCATTCCCCAGGTAGCCTGATATACTCCCTTTGGGGAGGCAGAAGAGCTGGTCCTTGGTCCCAGCCCTGTCTCCCTCAGTGTCCAAGAGGTCCCCTTGTATGGGAGAAGGCTGGGCTACTAAGGGACCTCCAGGGCCATATGAGTACGTGAGGAAGAAAGGTGGACCTGAGCAGGGAGGCGACAGCATGAACGGCTACCAGAGAGGCTGCTGCTTCTCAGCTCACTGGCCTCAGTGCCTACTGCTTTTGGTCCCTTCCTTGGCTGAGCTGCTTTAGGGGCAGTGTTCCTCCCTGCCCCTGTGGTGCCTGCTTGAGCCCAAGGCTCCAACCAGCCTGCTTGGAGAGTTGGCTGGGCCAGGAAAAGGAAGCCTGGACCCCTAAGCCAGTAGGCCTGACTGTGGGCCAAAGGGCCTGTCCTCAGCTGGAGTTGGGCCTTCGCAGGCTACTTGGCCCTTTACTTACCAACAACAGTGTGAGCTGCACAGGTCTCTAGCCTATTTCAGAGAGCTGGGCTGTGGCAGTCACCTAACAGCAGGAACACTTGGCTTCCCAAGGAGATTGGGCAGGTCAGAGGCCCAACCTGCAGTTGGCACCCTCCTCCATTCCAGATTCTCCTTGAACAATCCATTCTGAATACTAATCAAGACTACCCCCATGAATACCCCTAGGATCAAAGTGTGGCAAGATGCTCAAGATCTCAGCCTTATTGCACTAGACCAGGGTTCTGTGGATGCAAATCTGTGGGCCCACCCTTCAAAAGCATGACCAGCAGCACTGAAGACCAACAGACTTGAGCCTAGAGCACATGTTTACCCACCAAGGCTCTAAGAAGGGGACTTTAGGCAGGCTTGTGCTCTCGGCTTCCACCTGGTAGCAGTTGGCTGTGAGGAAAGAAGTGGGGATATTTTAGCCATCTCTCCACTGAGCCCTACTGTGTGCCAGGCAGGGTTCTGGGCACCAGGGAAGCACTGCTGAAGCCAAATGATCCTTAGGTCCCTGCCTTCTCAGAACTCAGTCCACCTAGTGGGCAACCCCAGCAAGAAGCATAGTTATGGGGCACTGTTGGTAATGCTTTGATTAGGGATTGTAGGAGCCCACAGGGGTACCTCATCCAGCGTGGAATCTCAGGGATTTGAGGAGAAAAGGTCACGTAGCCAAGCAAAACCTGAAGGATGACCAGGAGTTAAAGCAGGCAAAGTGGGGCAAAACAATCCAATGTTAACAGTGGATGCAATGGCTGATACCCAGGACAGGTATCAGCCCTGTATCGTCGAAGAAACAGGCAGCAGGCTGGAGGGGCCCAGGGGTCTGCTAAGCTGGGTCCCAGGAGAAGGATAATATTTCCATCCCTCAAACAGCCACACAAGTTTATAGAGGGAAACAGGTGCAGCACAAGCTGCCCTCTGGTGGCAGATGCTTGAAATTCCAGCGAGACCCATCTGTCTCACACTATGGGTCAAGGCCTAGCAAGGTAGGGAAGTCCTTCCCCATGCCTGGCCAGCAGCCAGACTGCTAACAGCTGTCTCTCCTAACCACAGGCCCAGCCCTCCTCTCTACCCCCTGTCCCCTTCCTGCGGATATAGACAGCACTTCCCTGCCCCCACTGCAGCCCCTGGCGCCCCTTACCCCAGGTGAGTCCCCTACACTGCAGCCAGGCTCCTGCTTCTTGTTGCCCAGGCTTCAGTGCCCACACAAGGCCATGCCCAGGCCAGTGCTTGCCCTATGTTAGTCTTTTGTCCATCTGTCTGTCTGTCCTTTTGCAGCCCCCTGCTGTCCTGTGCCTGAGAATGAAGCTAGTGCAAGTGCCAACAGGCCTCAGCCCGGGCCACACCATGCAGCAGAGTGCCACAGAGGCCAGGACACCACAGGCACATGTGGCTCAGTCTGTGTGTGGATGGGTGGGCACTCACCTCTGTTCTGCATCCCTACTTAGGAGGACTCTCTTGGGCATCCCCTGAGCTCTGCCCAAGCTGAGACAGCATCCTTTACTAAGTCCCCAGTGGGCTGCTGGCTCACGGATAACACCTGTGCAAGCAGTAACAGGCAGAATGGTCTCCACAGAGCAGCAAGAAAGTGAAGTGGGAAATGTGTGTACATGTATCCCTTCACTTAGCTCACTCCCTCAGTGATAGACTCAGTGCCAGATATGCAATAGCAGGGGATTCTGCAAACATTTTTAGCCCACTGGAGCTCACAGCCCAGCACAGCAAGTGTAGACATGGCACCAGCAGCTGAATGGGCCAGCTGAGTGATACGGAAGCCCTAAGGAGACCTCACCAGGCCTGATGGATCAGAGAGACCTTCGTGAAAAGAGTAATAGATCTTTAGTGAGAGGGAAACAAAGGGAACAGCTGTAACTGGGGCTGACTGGGAGTGGAGAGCAGCAAGAAGCAGAGGGGAGGAGAAGAGGTAGAAACATCTGTAGGGATGCTCATGCAAGGCTGTGCAGGCCCTTGGGAGTAGCCTGGGTTCTATTCTGTGGATGCTGGGGGAATTTCAGCAGCAGCAGGCCAGGAACATTCAGGTGTTTTTAATGGTCACTCTGGCTATTGTGTGGAGAGAGGCCTGGAAAAGCCAAGCAGTAGAGGGCTGAGGCCTCATAAGGCAGCCACAGGCTCCTGAGGCTGGTTGGTGGGGGCAGAACATGAGAAGGGGACAGATTCAAAAGCTACTTGGGACCTATTAGTAACCTGAATGACAATCTATGTAGATTTTTGCAGTATGTCTGTGTAGTGTGCTGGGAGCAGGTATTTGTATTTATCTGTGTACTTACGTCCAGGCCAGTAGGGGTAGACTATCTGTGTCCTCAAGTCATGTACTATGCAGGGGCCTCCATGTGTGTCCCAAGGTCTGGCCCATAATTCTTGGCTCAGTGTTAACTTTCTTCCTGCCTCCAGGTTCACCCACCCATCCTTGATGCTCGGCTCTGGTGTACCTGGTCACCCAGCAGCCATCCCCCACCCCACCATTGTGCCCGCCTCAGGGAAGGAGCTGCAGCCCTACGACCGCAACCTGTGAGTCAAGACAATGATGGCGGGGGTGTGTCAGCCAGGACACACATGCCTTCCCACCAGGCCTGAGGACTACCACAGGGTCCCTGGCCAAGCTGCTTTGTGTCTCTGGCTACATGTTTTTGATCCTTAAAAGAGGAAGGGGTGGGTGGGATGGGGAAACAAGGATTTCTCTGAGCCAACAGAGGAGAGGCTCAGAAGTCCTTAACGCATGCTTTTCCCACTTGGCTGTAGTATTCCTGTAAGGAACAGATACTTAGCTGTCTGCTCACCCATTTGGGGGCAGCTAGAAAAGATCCCACTTAGAAAACTCTGGTATCATACATACACTTACCCACACACTAGGCCCACACTAGAGGAGGGGCCTGCCATTAGGTGGGCACTTGGGGGGCCCCTGAGCAATTTGGATTTCTGCCCCTCAGGAAGACACAAGCAGAGTCCAAGGCAGAGAAAGAGGCCAAGAAGCCAACCATCAAGAAGCCCCTCAATGCTTTCATGCTGTACATGAAGGAGATGAGAGCCAAGGTCATCGCAGAGTGCACACTTAAGGAGAGCGCTGCCATCAACCAGATCCTGGGCCGCAGGGTGAGACCATGGGCAAGTGGGCTGGCAGGAATGCTCCCAGACCATCTTCAGCCTGGTGCAGCCTGCTGACTCCCTGATGCACCCCACCCGCCCCCCTTCCCCACTGCAGTGGCACGCGTTGTCGCGAGAAGAGCAGGCCAAGTACTACGAGCTGGCCCGCAAGGAGAGGCAGCTGCACATGCAGCTTTACCCAGGCTGGTCGGCGCGCGACAACTATGTGAGTGGCCAGTGACACACAGCAGGGGTGGGGAGGGGACCCTTTGAGAAACCATGCCCCTAGGCACCATCTCAGCAAGGAAGGCAGGTGAAGGCACAGATGAGGAAGGGCATGGAGGGTCCAAGGCCTCCCATGGCTGGCTCAGAAGATGCCAAGTCCACATCCTATTTACTACTCCACAATACGCTCACACATGGGCTATTCCCCAACATTTGATTGGGCCACATGGGCAGAAGGGGAGAAAGCGGTCTGGAAGTCACATCCCTCCATTCAAATTGGAGACCCAATTGGGGCAAGGGAAGAGCCTCTAAATGCACTCCATAGCAGCGTAGCAAGAAGAGCAATCAAGAAACACCAGCACCCCCAAGGTAGGAGGGGCCTGTATGCCCAGAATCCCAGGGGTACCCAAGCTAGGCGGCAGGCTGTGGGTATCCCAGTAGCTGCCTTCCAAATCTGAGCATCCCTCCTTTTGTTCCCTGCAGGGGAAGAAAAAGAGGCGATCAAGGGAAAAGCACCAAGAATCCACCACAGGTGAGACCTTCCCTCAGCAGTAGTGGAGGCTCCTCTCCATGTCCCCATTTCAATAGCATCCCTCCTCTGACCCAAAGGGAGGAGCAGGGTACCCAGCCAAGAACCTTCAGGGCCTGGGCCCTATGAAAATAAGGCCTGCATCACAAGTCAAATTCCCATGCAAGAAACAGTTGTATTACACCAAGTCCCAGGGTAATACAGGTAGATGTGTTCCTCTGCCTTGCCCCTACCACCTTTGCTAGCTCCACTCACAGCTAGACTCTACCAGAGAAGTAGCAAGGAACTGACTGTATGGTTTGATGCTTAGCCCAGTGTCCTAGCTAGTTCTGCTGAGATTGGGAGAGGCTGAGCCAGGCCCCATGACTAGGCCTAGTAGTCACACAGCCTGCCGGCTGAAGCCTGGCAATTTGTCACCCCTACTCCAACATCTTTCATGGCTGTGCAAAGTGCTCTGTGTAGAGAAGCCCATACCCTGCTGCAGGCCTCCTTCCTGTGGGTGAATTCCTGCCCCTGGGGTAACTTAAGACTCCACATCCATGATTTTCTCAGCTATGCTGTCCCCACATGGGGAAGCTGGAGGCAAGGACTGGGACAAAGCAGAGCAGAGTTCCTTTTCCAAGTCAAAGAATGGGCCCTTCCTTCCATCTGGAAGTGTGTAGAACAGGCGTCAGCTACAGCCTTCAGCCTTATCCCTTGAGGGAATATAGGTCAAGAATGAAGAAAAACAGGATAAAATGGGTAGGGAGTTGGGGAGGAGGTGGGTAGCCCTAAGGCAGAAGAGGCTGGATCTCCATGGTCTTCCCTGGGCCCCTCTGTAACCTCCATGCTGCAAGGACCCCACAAGCCACGGAGATGAGCCAGACTGACAGGACCCCCTCCTACCCATTCTTCCCACTGCCTCTACTGTCTAGCTGGATGCCCACCTTTCCTGACATCTTGGCTCTGAGCTCTCGGGCTCCCACTGGGGCTGGCTGTGCCATGGAGAGGCCCACTCTGTCTATGGGGGCTATAGGGTGTCTGTAACTGGCTAACACTGATGTTACCTCTTCTTTCTGGGCCCTGCTCTGCCCCGCTGCCTGCTCGCCCTCTGCCCTGCTCTGCCCCTCTGGCATGGCTGTGAGCAGACCCTGGCTCGCCTAAGAAATGCCGTGCTCGCTTTGGCCTCAACCAGCAGACGGATTGGTGTGGTCCGTGCAGGTGGGTTTGTCCCCACCATTGTTCTCCCTTTGCTTTAAGCTGCTTCCCTGACTCTGCACATGTTCCACTGGGCCTGCAGCCCACTCCTTTGGCCCCTCAGCCCACTAGCACACTTAGCATATTGGGGAGCTCAGGCCTCCTACTACTAGTAAATGCTGAACACAGTGTATGGAGAAGACCGCTTGGGTCTAAGTGCAGCAGAAGTGAAAAGACATGATGTTCCAGAAAGGAAGGACAGACTCAAGAAGGTAGCAAACAGATGGCTCAAACACCACTCAGGGGGCCTGGAGTCCACTCCCAGGCCTCAAAGTTATCATGGCCCATCAGCTCCCTCACTTCAAGGTGGGATCCCTGCCTGTACCATCTTGAGCCCTTAATCTGAAAACAAGGTGAAAATACAGAACTATCTAGTTGCTAGGCATCCTTGTGACCTGCTATCTTGCACCTACTGAGACCAGAGGGCTGGGGAGGCTGGGGAAGAAGAGCCAGGGTACCCTGGGCTGTCTGAGAAATGGGCCTGATGGCACTATGCCCATGTGTTTCACTGTACAACAGAGAAATACTTGTGGGTGTGACAAGGTTTACCCACCAAGTGGTTAAAGTTTCCTCAGGTTCAGGCCAGGCCTGGCAGAGCTAAGACAGAGGGTACTCCAGGCAGTAAGGCCACTGGCTCTAAGGAACACTTGTCCAGGCCCTCAGAGCACCCATCACACTCCCTATTAGAGAGCAAAGAGGAGTTGAGTTTGGAGTGTGTCTGTGTACCCACATATGTATGCACATATGTGGGAAACAACCCTGTCTTCAGAGGAAGTTCTATTCCATCCATTCCATCGGAGACAAACTGGCCCAAAGAACTCAAGGATGGTAATGGACAAGAGGAGTCACTGCGCATGTCTTCTTCCTCTAGCCCAGCCTGAGGACTGGGATGGCTGAGCAAGAAAGCCACAGGCATTGCAGCCCCTTGACCTAGTGCAGATCTGACTCCCACAAACCTGGAGAAGCTCAAGGCTGGCACTGGGAGATGACTCCCCTAGAAAACAGGAGGTGTCCCACAGCCCTAGTTACAAAAAGCCCGCTGTTCTGGGAATTGCACCTGTCCTAGGTCTGGGCCAGGCCGACCAGGCTGGCAGTCTGAGGACACTGACTTATCACACGAGTCATAGGAAGAGACGACAATAAATCAGCCAGGCCTATGCAAAGGCAGCATTTTTTGGTTGTGTGTATGACTATGAATTCACCCTCTGTTTACAGATAACTCTCTTCACTATTCCTAGGAGGAAAAAGAAATGCATTCGGTACTTACCCGGAGAAGGCCGCTACCCCAGCCCCGTTCCTTCCGATGACAGTGCTCTAGGCTGTCCCAGGTCCCCAGCTCCCCAGGACTCACCCTCATACCATCTGCTGCCCCACTTTCCCACAGAACTGCTTGCTAGCCCTGCGGAGCCGGCACCTACATCCCCAGATCTCTCCACTGCTTTCAGCCTCCCAGCCCCAGGGCCCCCACAGGCCCCCCGCAGCGCCTTGCAGAGTACACAGGTACAGCAACAGGAATCTCAGAGACAGGCGGCCTAGCAGGTACAGGACACCTGGCCTCCTCCAGGAGCCTACCCACTGAGAGGAAGCAAGAGAGACCCAGACTGCATGGATATCAGCCAGGGGTCCTGTTAACTCTATTTCAGGGTCCAGACCCTGAAGATTTCAGAGGCTGCACAACTTCTGCCTGAACCTGACATCATCGATTCAAACTGCTCCAAGTGGTAGGAATCAGATCTGTGTTGATGTGTCACCTAATTAAGGGCATATCTTGTAGCTATGGCTGCCTGCATCTATTCTTTTTACCATCTGTCTTGCCAGCCAGAAGCCTCTGCCTCCCTAGCTTTTCCGCTATAGGTCAGAGATGGGCTGAACTGAGCCTAGCTACCTTCTCTACCCATCTCCCCTATCCCCCACTGCCACATCCTCCCCATACAGATACTTCATGGACCAAGAATGAGCTGGTTTATCTAACACAAAGCTCAAGATGACAACCCTTCTCTTTTAAGGAAATGGAGAAGCTCTATTTATAAAAAACCAGCTGCTACTCATAAGTTGGACCAGAGGAAGCTTCTATGTTCTCAGGAGCTTGCAAGAAGCAGGGGTCGGGAGGCAGATTGAATAGGTTAAGTTTAGGCCTGTCAACCTAAGTAACAGAAATAACCTGACACTACCTTCTCAGGCAAGTTGGGGAGCGGAGGGTGTAATTTGGCTGTCGTTCAAATTACTTGGAAATGTTTCCTGAGAAACTCACTAGCCTAAGAAGCTCTGATACCAAGGTCCCAGGCTTGTCACCAACAGCTACGAGAAGTCATGGCCCAAATTCAGTGTGCACCCCTCCCCATTCAGAGAGCCTTTTTCACAATTCCATTTCCAGTTCATCCATGGCAGTCCAGCCAGCTCCTGGGCGGCTGTGAGACAGCAAACCCAAAACCTCACAACAGCCAGAGCCTGTCTTCCAGCATTCAGTCCATGGGCCAGCTGCAGTTTCCCCATGGGGCTGCAGGACAGAGGACCATTACAGCTAAATCAAGGAGCCCAGAAAACCTCCAGTGGTGGACAACAGGTCTTCATCACAGCCTACTTTAACTCATTTTTGAGCCAAGCTTCAACCCTGAGCCTTGAAAAACAAGTTTTTAAATTTTTGTTTCTTGCCTCCTCACCCTGTGTAGCCTGAATCCAAAGAAAAAAGGGCTGTCCAGCCAGGTGTGGTGGCTCACGCCTGTAATTCCGACACTTTGGGAAGCCGAGGCAGGCAGATCACCTGAGGTCAGGAGTTTGAGACCAGACTGGCCAACAGAACCTCATCTCCACTAAAAACATAAAAATTAGCCAGGCATGGTGGTGTGTGTCTGGCATCCCAGCTACTCAGGAGGCTGAGGCAGGAAAATCACTTGAACCTGGGAGGCAGAGGTTGCAGTGAGCCAAGATCACACACCTGCACTCTAGCCTGGGCAACAGAGGGAGATTCCGTCTTACAAATAAAAAAAAGGCTGTCCATGTACTCATACAACCCTCAAAAAAAGCCTTTAGTTCCTACTTTAGCCACTGGTTTCTCAGACTCCAAAGACCACATATTCTAGTGTTAACACTGCAAGAAGTCTTGAGAAAAAAAGATTATTGTAGTGTTCAAAGTATTTTTGTATTGTTAATGCATCATCATAGAAAAACTTTTTTAAACATGGGAATAAAGATAACTTTTTACTGGGTTTGTTTTTCAAAACCTGACGCTGAGGAATAAGCTGTCTCAAGTAACAGAACATGGTATTCTTTCCTTTTCTTCTCCAGTCAGGAAACTTGGAGTTTGTTCCCTAGGGTGCACGTTTCCAAACCTTCAACCTGCAGAAACCAAGGATTACACTTGTCATTTCCCCTAAAGGGGTGTGGGCCCTGCCTGCCTCACCCCTGATAGCTAGGCCCATACTCCCATTCCAAGCTTTGCTCTTAAACCCCCCCATCCTCTGACTCCACAATGATATAGGCCAGCCTGTTCCCCAGTGTTAATATAATAAATGAATTGGAAACTGCCGCCCATGCAGCCTGAAAAGACAGTCCCACCTGAAATAGGTACACTTAACCACTAGGCTCCATTTTCCTCTCGGGGCAGAGAGAAAACATTTCACAAGTGCATATCCTATTTCAAAGAAAACAAGACCAAATAGGAGTCTTTTATAACCTATTAGCACCACAAAATCCTAAAGGATATTTTAATAGCATCCTTTCCTCCCAATTGTATCTGTTAAGACACAAAGTATTTTTCATATTTTCACACAAGCCTTAAAGTTTGAGAAATCTACAACCCGCTTTTTAAAAAATCATACACACTGTTGGTGGACACTAGAGCCACCATATGCACTTTATTTTTACATTATTTGTATACATTTAGGGGGTACAAATACAGCTGTGTTACATGGATATATTGTGTAGTGGTGAGGTCCAGGCTTTTAGTGTGCCCCTCACCCAAACAGTGTACCGTGCACCTAAATAGTGTACACTGTACTCAACAGGTAGAATTTCATACCTCATCCCCCTTTCATCTCCCAGCTTTTGAAGTCTCCAATGTCTATTCCATTCCGTATATCCATGTGTACTTAACTGTTTAGCACCCTACAACCCACTTTTTACATGGCAGTTTCCACCAAGTACACTGCTATCTTCCTGAGATCTATCATGAATGTAAAAGGTGTCTTGAAGGCATCTCAGTAGGTGAACAAGTAGATGATAAATGTTGGGCAAGAAGTGTTTTCACATGGGCCACCATCTGCATTGTCATTATCATTCTACTGAGTTATATTTTTTGGATTTTGTGTTTAAAGGTATTTATAAAGAAAGTAATCTTCCAGAGTAGTGTCTATTTAAAGTAGGCCACTGGACATTGTAACCCTAGACTTGCTTCTTTCTGGGAGAGTGTTAGAGGACACTAGCCATTCTCTGGACATCTGTCCCATTTTAAAGAATTCTGTTCTGGCTACTGGCCTAGTTTAAAAAAAAAAAACAAAAAAACCTACATTCTAGCCAGGGCTTATGCAAGATCAGGTTGCTGCATCTGATTTGGTATCTTAGAGTACACAGGGTACATGAACAATGCAGTCTTTGTGTACTGGCAGAGAAGCCTTTGCAATGTTGTTTAAATCAAATCAGTTTTTTAAAAATCTGACTTCATAAAGGAAACAGATTCTTCCAAATCACCCTGGTGCATTCCTATGAGGCCAGAGGGTGACTTGAGACTGCAACCTCACAAGTTCAACTTCTAATACCATACCAGTGCCCCCTTCACTGTCAGCTGAGGACCAACCAACCCTGTTTTCTGAGATATTATAGGACAAGATACCCTAGACTCCCTTGAACATTTCCAGACAACTAGCAGACTTGCAATGTGCTTGAAACACGTTCAACCCTCCCCTGGTACACCTGCTCGCCACTTTATGCTCAGTGGATATGGTGAGGGTTCAGCCCAGCAAGTGGACAAAGCCTATGTCTCCCAATTTGAAGGTGTCTCCTTTAACAGAACCCCACAGCTGGACTCTTATTCTGACACATAACTATCTTTTGAATGGTTCCTGTGGTCTCCCATTCCTTTTGGCTGTGGACCCCCAATTGCTGGCTCAGAAGCATGGCTGCCTAGCTCTGTTCAGTATACAGTAAGCCTGGCCAGGAAGGCCATAAGTAAAGGGAAGCAGAATGGTTCTTTATATCCTGTTCCAGAAAGGAAGAAAGGGAATCAGCTCCTGCATCCATTTCTCAGAAAACAGCACAGAAAAGAAGGGGCAAGAGTAACAAAGCCATGTGAAACTCCTACTTCTTAGGCCTATATATCAAAGTAGAAGAATTTAAGACCCAAATCTAGTTAATTGTATAAAAAGGCTAAGTTGGCTTTTCTTTGGGGTTAGAAAGGACGCTTATGCATGGCTCTCAGATCTCTTCAGAGCTTTCTTTAAGCTCTTCAGGGCTTTAAGAGTTCACCAAGGGTCTTTGAAACAGCTGCCCACCCAAGCACACCCTGCATGTATCAACTCCCCCAATCCCGACTTATTGTGATCACCTTTTCAAATCATCCTGTGGGCATCTTTCAAATTCAGACTCCTGAGCTCTCCAATGGTTTGGAGCTACTAACAAACCATTACTGGCAGCATGTGAAAATACTCTAATGGCAGGAAATCTGAAAACAAGGAACACAGATGGTAGGGATGTTCTCATAGGCAGTCCCCAAAATAAAAGCCTGGCTCAGGTCAGGAAGGATTTTCAAGCTCTTCAAGACAGCATGGGATTAGGCATGTTAACTGGAAAGGGAAAACTTAGATGTCCTGGGATGGAAACTATCCTATCCCCTAGCAGTCCTCACAGGTTAGGTCACTAGCAATAGAAGGTAAGGGATGTTTCACTTCTGAAGACGAGAGCAGCTGTGAATTACGCAGGAGATAGTCCAGGCCAACACTTCTTTCATATTCACCAGGGGCTCTAGACCAAGTAAGTCTTCCTTTTTCATTCAGGTGTTCTCATTCTTTTATCTGAAGCCTTGTTCTTTCAGGCATGTGCAATCAATGTCAGGAGGCAGTGTGGGGGGCTTGGGGGGCACAGGAGGGAAGAGGAAAAGCTAGGTTCTACTCACCAAAAAAATTAAAAATTTTTTAAAAAGCCACTCTGGAAACCCTGCTTGAGTAGCTTCAGGGTACAGAGTACAGCTCCTCTATTTTCCCACCCCTTTCAGTAAGCTTCCTCGAACAGAAAAATCTGCAAAGCAATTGAAGAAGGCAGAGTTAGAGGTTATGAAATGGTATACTCAGGAAAAAAAGGACAAATAGGAATTTTCACCAAATAGGTGGGAGGTATTCAAAATAAGAGCACTTTAATGAAATAAGCTGATCCTCAGTGTGCAATCAGAGGCTGCTATATAGCAGGTTGAAAATTTAAAGCTAAGAGATATCATAACATCTGAATATACTTAAATACTGGCAGAAAATTTAAAGTTAAGAGGTATCAGAAGGTTACAAGAACTACAGATGTGGAAGCAAACACTGTTGTGAGCAACTACATTCCTCCCATAGAATGCTACTCTATACTAGCACACAGACCAGAGGTAGCCAACAGTACACAAGACTGCAAGGCAACGAGTACATCATCAATGAATTAATCATCTATCACTCAAACTATGCCTTGCATTGGAAGTGAGTCAAGCAAGAACACCTTCAACAACACTTTTCTGCCACCACCAATGATCATCTCCACTAACACCTCATCAGAAAGGCTAACATTTACCCAACTTTTCTTGGGCCAAAGGACATGCTCTAAACTATTTCTTACACCATACTTCATCTTGATATGCACAGCCAGTTCTCTTACCCATTCTCTTTGACCACTGGAGGTAATGATTTTTAACAACAGTAAACAAGAAAAAGTCATCAGGACCCAACATTCAAAGGAATGGTTTAGTTCAACAACGACAACAACAAAAATTAGAATTTAATTCAAACACTCAAAAATTGCCCTGCCTAATGTGGGTCTCATGAATAAACACTGATAAAATACTACTGTCAGCAAAGTAGTATCACTAATCCCACCCTAATTTCTCTTTACAGTCCATATTCTCAAGGAAATGTACCAATACCCAACCTTCTGCTGTTAGTTCCCGACTGAGCACTGTTTTTTCCTCACTATGGCATCTCTCTACCCCCAAACAAATCCAACTTTACAGAACCTTTCCTAGCACCTTTCAGTTCTGTTCTTAATCTTGTTCTGTACAGCAACATTTTTATTATTTACCCACTCCCTCCCAGCAGTATTTATGCCTTGTCTCCTGAATTACACCAAAAGCTCCCAGCTCCCAAGAGGGAAAGCATGTCTAATGCTTTCTACCAAGGAGAAGTCAGAACTATAAGGATTCAACCATTTTATAAGCTTTCCCTTTGCTTGCAATCTTCTTATTCTTCCTAGCTTAAAAAGTTATTCACATTGGTTTCAGATCCAGATAACGGAAGATTAACTTTTCAAATCCTCAAACTTTGTAGGGAGAACACTTAGTTGGTTGATTCCTTACTACTAAAATGTACACTGAGCTTTATTTAGAAAAAAGAAAAATCAGTGAGTATTGTGGCTCACATCTATATTCCCAGCACTTTGGAAGGTTGAGGCAGGAGGATCTCGAGCCCAGGAATTCAAAAACAGCCTGGGCAACATGGCAATACCTCATCTCTATAAAAAATTAAAAAATACAAAAACTAGCTGGGCGTGGCGGCACACACATGTAGTCCCAGCTACTCAGGAAGCTGAGGCGGGAGGACTAAGCCCAGGAGTTCAGGGCTGCAGTGAGCCGTGATCACACCACTGCACTCCAGCCTGGGCGGCAGAGGTGAGACCTTGTCTCGTGTAAGAATTAAAAAGCTCTTCAGGCTCTGGGCACAATGCCTGTGGGGTAGCCCTACTCTGCAAGGAGCAGTGAAAAAAAAAAATCTTCCAATGGTAATGCTGGCAAGCAAAAATTCAGCTTGTAAAGGGTGCTCAGAGCAAGAAGTTTGCTGCTTTCTCAAATCTCTCTTTTCTGGTGGAAACCACTTCATATTTCCAAACTGCCTTATTGAGAGCCTAGGCAACTTACGTAATTTTTAAAAAATTTACGTTGGGATCAGAACACACCCACAGGATTGGCCAATTTTTAAAGTAAAATTGAAAGTTATTTGGAAAATCTGCCTGCCCTAAGTCACATGCCCAGAGTGACTCACTGTTACT